GCCCCATGGGGTGCTATCAATTCAAAGTCTTGCCATTTGGATTACAAGGGGGCCCTGCAGTCTTTATGCAATTAATCAATGACGTTCTAAGGGAGCACCTGTTTAAGGGGGTCCTTGTTTACTTGGACGACATTCTTATCTTTACCAAAACAAAAGAAGAACACGTCAAACTTGTCAGAGCGGTTTTAAAGAAGCTGCGAGCCGCTCACCTATATGCCAAACTCTCAAAATGAGAATTCCACCAGGAAAGGATAGACTACCTAGGCTATCGCATATCCCCACAGGGCATTGAAATGGACCCGGAGAAGGTCAAAGCAGTACTAGATTGGGCACCACCCCGCACAAGAAAGCAACTACAAAGTTTCCTGGGCTTTGCAAATTTTTACCGCCAATTCATCCCCTCATTTGCACAGATAGCCTTGCCCCTCACTAACTTACTAAAAATGAAGGGAATATCCTCAGTAAAACCTAGCCAGCCACTAACATGGACAATGGAGTGCCAAGCAGCGTTTGAGAGACTAAAGAGACTTTTTTCTGCCGAACCAGTACTAAGGCACCCAGACATGGACAAGCCCTTCATAATACAGGCAGATGCAAGTGATGTGGCAGTGGGGGCTGTGCTATTACAAGAAAATGATGATGCAGTATTACAACCCTGTGCATATACATCCAAGAAGCTCACGGAAACAGAACAGCACTGGCCCGTATGGGAGAAGGAGGCATATGGGATACGTTGGGCATTACTCACGTGGTGACAGTTCCTGGAAGGCAACAAAATCCCCTTCCAGGTGTGGACTGATCACAAAAATTTAGAAGCCCTGAAAACTTCCAGGAAACTCAATCCCAAACAAGCCCGCTGGTCCCAGCATTTTCACCAATTCCAATTTAAGCTCAAACATTTACCAGGAAGAAAGAACTTCCTGGCAGATGCATGCCCCAATATAACAGCGCACGAACCACAGACTCTAGACCAATAATGGCAGAGTCACAACTGGCAGCACCAGTAACCACAAGAACCCAAGCCAAAATAAAATCACAACTGGACAGCCAAACTGGGATTGAATTCAGAAAAAGTTTGGAAACAGATGAATGGTTCCAGAAAAACAAACATGTGTGCACAATGAGAGATGGGTTGCCTTGGGTAGGGGAAAAGTTATATATACCAACAACTCAAAGAGTCACTTTCATGCACCTTTGCCATGACACAAAATCAGCAGGGCATTTTGGATTTGTAAAAACTTTACACTTAATTAAACGGCAATTTTGGTGGCCATCCATGAAAAAGGACATAGAAAGTTATGTTGCCAGCTGCCCAACATGTGCATCTGCAAAGAGGTTGCAAGGGAAATCGCCAGGGCTATTACAACCAGTGGCAAATCCCTCAGCCCCCTGGAGGGAAATAGCCATGGATTTTATAGTGGAATTGCCAGAAAGCAATGGGAATACTGTTATCTGGACAGTCACGGACTTGTTTTCCAAACAGGTGCACTTTATCCCTTGCCAAAAGATTCCCACTGCAAAGACCTTAGCAAGACTTTTCATCCAGCACATTTACAGATTGCACGGGGCACCCCAACGCATCATCTCTGATAGGGGAGTGCAATTTACGTCTGCATTTTGGAAGGAATTTTTATCTCTCTTAGGGACCACTCAGGGACTGACATCTAGCCATCACCCTCAGACAGATGGACAAACGGAACGGTGCCATTCAGTACTTGAGCAATATTTGAGATGCTTTTTAAATTTCCAACAGAGTGATTGGACGGACTTACTTCCTTTTGCAGAAGTTGCCTACAATAATGCAGTCCACTCCAGCACAGGTTACACTCCTTTTCAAATAGCCACCGGTCAAAGTTTCAACCCCATGCCAGAATTAACCCCAAACGAACCAACGATCCCTTCGCTGAAAGAATGGATGGAGAAATTACAAAACACCTGGCCAATAGTCAGAAAAGCACTAGATGAAGCTAGGCAGGCATATAAAACACAAGCCGATAAAAAAGGGTTGAGCCTACACCATTCATTATAGGAGAAATGGTGTACTTATCTACAAAATACCTAAAGTCCCTACAGCCCTGTAAAAAACTTGGACCAAAATATATAGGACCTTTTCCAATTAAAAGAATCATAAATCCAGTAACAGTAGAATTAGAATTACCCAAAAACCTCAGGCAAATACACCCAATTTTTCATTGCAGCTTGCTGAAAAGAGAGCATCAGTCACATCTACGGCCAAAAATCCCCCCACCACCACCTCCACTCATGGTGGAGGGTGAACAACACTTCGAAATAAAGGAAATCCTTGATTCTAGGAGATATCATGGAGCAACTCAGTACCTAGTTGCCTGGAAACACCTCCCTCCCTCACAAAATGAGTGGGTCCATAAACGTCATGTCAGAGCCCCGAAGCTATTGAAGAAGTTTCACACAGAGTATCCTAACAAGCCTGACTAAATTTTATACTTGTGTTTTCTTTCAGGTGGATCTCTCTTATTTTTAAGAGGGGCCGGATGTCAGAATCCAATTATATTTCATCTTTAATTATCAAATATAGAAACTCCCAATTCTGCCTTCTCTGGATTCTGCCATAAGAGGGAGAGAAGGGGGAGAACAAAGGGGCTTTATGGCCCTCACTTCCTTCAGTACACTTCAAAGAGCTGAATGCTGAATGTGTGTTTATTGTAACCTCAAAGCGTTAGCATACCAAAGAAGGGTATTTGCCTTTCATGTAGTTATCTGAAGTCTCCATCCAGACGGAAGAAAGAAGAAAGGGGGTGGAATTGTGATACTTGAAACTATCACTGGAAGGGGGGTTGATTGGGTGGGACTACTGGGGAACCCCTTAAAACCTTGAATGGGAGAGCTTGAACCCCAAGTCCTGTCTAGCATGCCTGCAACCATTTTCTCTTAATAAAGGATTCCTGTTGGAAGAATTATTCCAAGAGTTCTGTCTTCTTAAGATGCAAAGTGGGGTGGGTGGGTCCTTACAAGTTGCCTTGTGAAAAAGCATCTTTGGGGCTGCAAGAGTGTTCTGAGCACACACACACACAAAAAGCCAGTCCAGCATGTGACCATCAGTACATCTTGGGTCCTTGATGACCCAGGTTAAGCTCATGGTAGTTATGGTGGTCATGAACCTTTGAGTCACTTTTGAGCCATTTCAGATTACACATGGGATAGCCTGAGTCTGGGAAATAGCCCTGCCATGGGAAATACCATGTTTCCCCAAAAATAAGCCCTACCCTAAAAATAAGCCCTAGCTTGATTTTTGGGGGTGGGCCTAATATAAGCCCTACCCCAAAAATAAGCTCTAGTTTTAGGGCGAGGTACACACCTAAAAATCAAGCTTAGGGGTGCAGCTACCCCACGTGCCCCGCACGTACTGACTGTTGCAGCCAGGTCTCCCATGCCCTGACACCTGCCTCACCTCACCAGCACACTTCTTCTGTGGTCGCTTGCTGCCGCTCATGCACATGTCACCTCCAGCCTCCATTTCATCATCAGAGGCCTTCAGGAAATGCCTCTGCAGCTGAGAGTGGAGCTCTGGATTGACACACACGTTGCCCCCGGCTTCCATTTTGCCATCAGAGGCCTTCCAGAAAGGCCTCTGTAACTGAGAACTGAGCTCCAAATTGATGCGGACAGCGCCTCCTGGAGGCCCATGGCACTGCATGAGTCAATCCGGAGCGCAGTTCTTGGCTGCAGAGACCTTTCCTGAAGGCCCGATGGCAAAATGGAGGCCAGGGGCAACGTGCATGAGTGGCAGCAAGCTGCCACAGAATTAGTGGGCCAGCTGGATGGGGCTGTTGGTGCCACTGCTGCGAGGTGAGACCTGGTGCCCATTTTGGAGGAAAAAAATAAAATAAAATAAGAGTCTTATTTTTTTGGGAAAACACTGTAGTTAACATAGCTCAGGCAGGAGGGCTAGTACAGTAACTACAATCCCAACTGATCCCTAGAATGCAATTTCATAAAGTCAAAAAAGCAGAAAACCATCTGAGTCTTCTGCATGATAGTAGCAACTCTACTCTGCCTCCCGCCTGGCCTTATCATCATGATTTATTTATTTATATCTAATACATATTTAAATATCAAATTAATTTAAACTGATATATTATTCCCTACAATATACCTAAACTATATTTATTAATTTGACATATTTGGAATATGGATAAATAATCAGAACTTCATAGAAATATAAATGCAGTTTACATAAGCGTTATGTTTCCATTGGATTATATATGAACACAAGATGAATCTGATTCACCCACATATAACTTAATTATTTTTAAGCAATAAAATGAAGGTAATTTGAAAGGTTTTACTACTTACTCATATGTGAAATGTTTTACTTATGGATAAACAGTAGAAAAGATGTTTTGCAGAAGTGCATCATCATTAATTTGGAGATTCCACCCGGATGCAATTTGAAACAGAATTATAATTTTTTCTTATTCTTGCCATTAAAAGCTTGGAAGGATAAAATATTACTATAGTACATATAAAATCTATGCTCTGAAGTTTTAGAGACATATCATGAAAATACAATTAGTTTCAGTGCTCTGATACAAGTGAAATTATCCAAAAGAACAGGACTTCTAGAAAGGCTACATAAGAAAGGACCAGATTTTTAAAAATCCAAATGTGTTTCCCAAGTTAACATTTTTTACAGATCAAAGCATACTGGCAATCATGTACTATAATTTCCTCTAACATATGTTTTTCCTTGGATGTTGTTAAAGCAACATTTTTAAAGCAATTTGCTGCTGATTTGTATAATGGGCCTTTTTCATACATATTGGATAAATATGAATATTCATAGAGACATGCTTCCAAAATAAATCAGATGAGGGACCAAAAAATCTGCCCTAAGTCTGGGACTTAAAATAGGGCATCTATTTTTTTTCTGTGAAAGTCTTTCTATCCCTAATTTAAACAAATATTTAAACCAATTATATACACAAAAGGTTTGATAACGTATGCATAATAATATGATCAGCTTAAAGTGGAAATTGGTATTTATTTCCATAAACCTAACATAAATGCCTTCATTTTTCTTCTATATAGAAAATGCATACACAAGCTTAAATATCATGATGATTAGTCACAAAATATAGAGATGAAAAGCACATGTGTGAAATATTATTTTATGATTAGTAGGCATTTGCATGGATTATTTATGTTCATAACTCAGGAAGGAAGACAAAAGATCTTGAAACATATATACAGCATAAATATTATAATATCAAATACAAACTGAACAAAAAGCAGAAAAAGCAGGAAACTTGATGTAAGAATTGCTGCTTATTGTGGAGTTGGACATAAAATCGAAGCAACTGCAATCATATCTTATACTGCCAGGCTAGATAAATGGCAGGACAGGGTTCACTCTGTTCTTCTCCAGCTTTTCACCTGGCTCATTTAGCATCATGTGTTACTTCCTTGAAGGCATGCAAAAAAAGGTTTAAAAAGTAAGGTACTGAAATCTAATAATAATAATATCTGGCATGTCAGAAATATACTTTAATTGGTGAACTATAGAAATTAAATAGTTTGAAACATTTTCTTTTTCCTCATAAGCCACTAGAATTACAGATATTTTTCTGCAACTTACTGTGATACGAATCTGTGTGATGTCTCAAAGGATAGAGCAATATGTGAGTTAGTTCTTTCTCAATAATACATCAAAGCATTAGATTCTATTTATTTTAATGAAGGCTAGGCTAATCTTGTTTACTTATCTTTCAATTGGATATTTATTATTTACTGCTTCCAAGAGTGATGCTATTTTGCAGCCATTATATATGATAACAGTTTAATATTATACTGTGACCATGAAAATAGATTAATTAAGAGTTGAATGGAAGTGTTCCTCATATCCTTGGCAGAAGTTGGAAGTTATTCTTTGTATATATCTTTGTTTTCTTTTCTTTCTCTTTATACCTTTTTGCATTTCCATCCCTATTTTCTTCTTAGTCTTTATCTTTTTTCTTGATTGTTAGTTTATGTTGTTTTTTTATATTTTTAAGCTTCCATCTGAAAAAGATCACCCTTGTTTTTATTTCCAACATTCAGATTATTAAAAAAAATGATGCCACTTCAAATTTGCTATTTCGGGTTCTGAACCTTGTGTGGTTTACAGTTTACTCTATGATTGGCTTTAAAGAAAAAAAATCCTCTAGCCATGGAAACTTGAAGTACACCAGCAATTAAGTAACTTTAAAAGTCAAGGCAATTAAAATAAGCAGAGAATCCATCCTTTCTGTTCAAAGTCAGAACCAATTTGGGAGTTCTGACCATTTTTGAAAACAAATCTAAAGCGTAAGCAGTGTAAAAAGAGCTTTTGACTATAATGTGCAAAACAGTAAATTGTCTGATATCACTAGGACTAGACATTAAATAAATACCAATTCTAGTGCAGGAGGGGAAAAGATTAAAATTAATGTTTAATCAGTTGGCATTTTCTCAAAAATTTCCTGAAATACAAACACATAAAGTCTGGTAATATATAATAGTAATTGGCTGTCAAAATAACAAATATATTAACATAGCAATATTTTTAAATGGCTCATTTCTTCAAGAGGATATTCAGTTTTGCAATTAGAAAGCCTGATTTAGATTTTATATGTAGTCCTTGCATCATTTTTTGTTTCGTTTTTATTTTGATGAACATATTTTGATTACTTAAACCATATTTAGTCCTTGCATCATTTTTGTTTTGTTTTTATTTTGATAAAATGTTTCAATTAGTCATACCTCTGTGCCCTTTCTGGACAAAAACCAAACTTGCATTGGTTCTTTTTTACCCTTCATGGAAATAGGACCTCTGTGTTCTAGATGGAACTGTGGATCTGAGTTTTCTGGAGTCATCAGACATCTGAAATTAAATGGATTATAATTAAATAAGAGCATGAATGAAATTTAAATGTAGAACATTGAATTCTGGAAGATTTGTTGACACAGTTCAGACTGGCTGTGATTCAATATAAACAAATCTGGAACAGTGCTGGACATTTCATCCATGAGGAACAGTGATTAGGTCTCTTGTGCTGCCAAAATCTGGATGACAACCAGAAGGAAGCAGAGAGTTACAGAAAACTTTTATTGTTTCTTGTCATCTGGATTTTTTACAGCCTGGATCTGGTATCCTCAGTCATAGCCTTCTTTGGAGCGATCGTTTGTCTGGGGGCTATAGGATTTCTAACTCTGAAAAGAATGTGAGGGTATATAGATTTGGCTCTGTTTCTGATCTCCCAAGGCACAGCCTTTCAATTGCTTCCTCCAGAGCATGAGCACTCCTGTCAGAAGATATTAAATCACATTCACATGCTCAGAAGCACAAACAACAAAAGTATAATTATAAGTCACACAAACAACCTTGATCAGCAATTCAACTGCTTTTTTAATAACTGGATCAAATGTACCAAATCAACAAGTTCAAATACTTTTGCAGCAAAATATACTATGGACATAAACGGGGCATAAATGCACGATCAAAATGAATGCATACACCTTAACAGAACAGGCTGATTAATACAGCACCTTCTTGCATCTTTAAACAATCTCCGCGAGCAAAAAGGCACAAGAGAATGTTTAGAGTTCAATGGTGAATGTATGACATTCAAAAATTTCCAAAAAAATCAATTGAATCAAAACAAGCTATCAGCAAAGAGCCTTTGAGGAAAACAGTAGCCACAAATAATGTTGATAATGGCTTGAGATTTTAAATATGCACTTGCACTTTGTTCTTTTGTCTGTTGATTGCAAACAATTTGAAGGCCCTTTGAAGATAACAAACATATTGCAGCAGGCATTCTGAATGTCAACATCAAGAACCAAGACCATATACAGAGTACACACACTCATAATACCCTGTAGAATCCAAAAATAGATAGATCAAAGAAAATACAATGTACAATGTCAAAAAATGACACACAGCACCTTCCATTATGCTGAATGCCTGATCATCCAAAGCCATCATCTGAATAATATTCCTAGTTAAGGTACTGAAATTTAGTATCTTGGCTTTCATTTAAATATTAAATTATATTTGTCAAAAGTTACATTGTAAAGACCACTCAGACTGTTTGAAAATGATTATATTATTCCTCTGGGCAATGCTAAGTGTTTAATCTAAATAATTTACCTAAAATGAGATGTATAAGTTGAAGCAAAGGGAATTCAGGGTTGTAAACTAGACTACAGGTAGTCCTTGACTTACAGCATTCATTTAGTGACTGTCCAATGTTACAATGGCACTGAAAAAAAGACTTATGACCAGTCCTTGCACTTATAGTCACTCCAGCTTCCCCACAGTTATGTGATCAAAATGTAGGTGCTTGAAAACCAGTATATTTATGATAATTGCTGCATGTCCCAGGGTCATGTGAACTTCGCAGCTGGCTTCTGACAAGCAAAGTTAATAGGGAAAGGTGGATTCGCTTAATGATCATGAGATTCACTTAACAATTGTAGCCAAAAGATTGTAAAATAAGGTGCAACTCACTTAACAACTGCCTAACTAGGCAACAGAAATTCTGATCTCAACTGTAGTCATAAGTCGTGCATTATCTGTAGGTGAACTACTTCCATACTGTTATGACAAAAATAACAAGGGTGTATCCATATTTTACCAGGAATTTATCTCAACTTAAAACTAAACTTTAGTTAGTGTAAATTGAAAGAAAATATCCTTAGAGTAAATTTTATAAAGCATTTTTGGTTTAAAATTTGTGTTTTGGAAATAGATACAATGATATAAGTAAACTTAATTTCTCACCTATAAGTATATTCAGAGACATTGATCTTTCCTTTTTCACCTGTTGTTTCTGTTCTACTTGTGAGATTTACAGTGTTCCCAAAAAGACAATAACGAGGCATCCTTTGGCCAATTACACCTGTGACCACTTCTCCAGTGTGAATGCCTATTGTAATCTATTATAAAAAATCAACAGAAAAGAAAATGATAACAAGTTGATTTAGTATTAGGTCAATAGTATTGTTAGTCAGTAATAAAATACACTATGAACCTTATGCTTAATTTTAACTGAATCTATATACCAAAATATGTAACACAATACTACAAACCTAGAGCAAATATAGTATAGTTGGTCTATTTCAAGTTTTCATTTATATAACTGAACTAGAAAATTCATTCAATGTAATTCTGAAAATATCTACACTTTCTCTAAGAATGGCAAAATAAAATTATGTATTTAGAAATATAACCAATTGCTTAGTAAGGAATTGCAAAGAAATATTAGTCTATTGGTCCATCTTTTTCCAGATAAATTACAATACTATATTATAGAGGCATGTTAACATATATAAGATTTCTTCTTGTTGTCCATAATTGTATACTAATTAACCCTCGATTTTAAGAACTGTTTTATCTATATAGCCACAAGGAATCAGGAAGTAAAGAAGTTGCAGACAGATTTCCCATAATGTGGGTCATCATCTTGCCTATTTTTATGGAATTTAAAAACCTGAAAGTTGATCCTACATTAAGTTAGGACTGAAATTGCATCATAATTAAATCCCTAAATCCCATAATATGTTGCCAATCACTGACCTGAACAGATTCTCCATCGACTTGAACTTGTCCAGCTATTTCCATCATATCCAATGCTAAGTGGCAGATAGAACGTGCATGATGAATGCATGGTTCTGGCAAGCCACTTACTGTCATATATTTGTCTCCAACTGTCTCAACCTAGCAAAATATAAATCTGAAAGTTATGATATGATATTTCCTTTCTTTACTTGTCTCAATAAAGTAGTAACCTTTGATTATCAATTATCTGACATTAAAGCAATATCATTTCATTAGAAAGATTATTTTCATAGTTATCAAACATGGAACATATTTACCCAATCTTCCCCATTTTTTACAAATCCTGAGAAGCTAAAATCTTCAGAACATACACATATTAATAATTATGGGAGATGTATTCCTAACTTCCCACCCCAATGTAGCACTTTTTTGCCCCAAAATGACATCCTTTCCATCTTAATATACCCATTGGCTTTCATTTGCCAAAATTCCAATATGGTCAATAGAAGAAATGTTATTTAAAAATAATGTTGTGATTAGGAAGTACATCAAAATATATATCTCCCAATAAGCCACTAAAAGGAAGTGCAAGACCACAGATCACGGCAATCTTTTCCTGAAGCAATAAACCTATTATCTATACTATTTTATAGCAGTAGTTAAAGCAATTTTCCTGAATAATATTTAATCCTCAGTGACATGTAATATTCAAAATTATGACTACATGGTTAAACATAATAAAATAGAAATTATTATTATGTTTATCTGTATAGGCTCTAGCAGTCTGTTGACCAAAACCGATTGTTCATTCTATTTCATGATAAACCAACCTGGGATTTAATTTCAGACTGTAAACATTGTGCCTAGCATCAGATTGTGTAAGCCCATATTAGGAAAGTTGCCAAGAGATAGTTTGAGATGAGACTTCAGTAAAATGTTTTGGAATATGCAACCCACTTTTCTAGCTTCTGTTGTTTGTAATACATAAAAAATATGCTCAGCCATATATATTTTACACTATTAGTCATAAGCTCGCCCTTATACAGTGTTACCCTCTTCACAGAACAGAAAGGACATATCATATTTACCTTATAAACAAATGGGTTTTTTCGTGAATCAGTCAAAATATCAAATCTTGTATAAAGATCGTTTAAAAGATTGACAATTTTCATAGCTCCTTCTCCAGAGGCATGTTTACTGCAGAAGGCATTAAAACCAACAATGCCACTAAATAATATAGTCACATTATCATAACGTTTTGCTGGTACAGGACGCTTGTGTCTCAATTCATTGGCCACCGACGGAGGAAGCACAGAATACAATAATCTACATAAGATTGTGTAACAGTAGCAAAGGAAAAAATAGAAAAGAAATAAATTAATCTTATTCCGATAAATTTATTATATTCATATTTAGTATTCACTGATTTAAAAACTTATATTCTACAGCAGGCATAATTTGCATTAGAAACTTTACTTCTAAACAAACAACACAATAAATATATACAGTAAATTATTTTATACTTTTATTTATTTATATTATTTTATTGCTATTTATAGAGACATATATCATTTCAGCTCAACATAGGCAAATTACATTCTGCTGAATAGATATATGGTTAAATTGCTATTAATATGCTTCTTAATTATAATTATATTATCAATAGCTAACAATTTTTGTAGCACTTCACTTGGATTTGTTACATGTTTCTGATTTTATTTTTACTTATTTAAATTTAATACAGCAGTCCCCAACTTTTCTGGCTTTGTGTATCAACAGTGACGGGGGGGTGGGGGGGGAAAGGGGATGGTTGTGCATAGGTGGCATGTGCGCGCACTTGCGAAGCTCCATTTGCACAAGTGGCAGGTGCACAAATGGAGATTTGTGTGCTCGCTCAACACTTGCTGCGGACCAGTAGTAAGCTGCGTATTGGGCATTGGGGAACCCTGATTTAATGCAAAATGGCTTTTGTAACAGAAAATACTTCAATAAAGACAAAGTCAGTAGTAGCCCATTATACATTAGGATTTCAAAAATAGATATCTCTGAGATGTACTCTCATAACTAGAAATTAATTTAGCAATGATGACTACACATTATGAGGAGTGAATTGCAACTCATTTGGGAAGCATTTAGATTGTGAAGGCTGAAGAGTGCGTTTATTACAAAACTTCATAACCAGATTATTTCGTTCATGGCATGACATTAAACCATGTTCATTGTATTCAAACATTTATATCTTCTTTATCCACCCAGACTGATAGAGAAATGGTGACTTAAGTATAAAGGTCACATGTGTGCAAGAACTGTAAATAGAAAACATTCTCAGGCTTCAGCAAGAGACAGTTTGTCTTTGTTCAACATTTTTATCTTACTTTATCTAGAGTAACGTCACTGACTTTAACTAGGCAATTAGGAATCAGAGTTGTTTATGAGCCTCCAAACAGAGGACAGAGTGATAAAAATCGATCATTTATACCATTTCATATTCTAAGTAGGAGATTAAATCTTACGTATCTGTCTTCTTCTTTTCATCTTCCAAAGCTCTTAAAGTGTGCTGGAGCCTATCTGTTAATATTTCCAGTTCTTGTGTCAGTTTGTACTCCTCTCGGAATTGCTCTCCCAAAAGGACCAAATCACGAGTAGCATCATGCAGGGGAATGTCACTTAAGTAGAGTCCTCTTCTAGTTAAATCATCCAAATTCATCACACTAATGCAATTAAAAGTGAGATGAGAAAATGACAGAGTAAGATTTTTCTGGTATTTATGTAAAAGATAATGATTAATCTGTTTTGCAAATATTTTTTAATTGCCAAAAAGTAACAATACATCTCTATTTTATCATTTAATACACTATTAATATCGCATGTTTCTATTCTTCTAACAAAATATGTGGTACATTTCTATAAAAAGGCAGTTCATCAACTAACATTAGCTTTAGTCTGCTGCAATAACTGATTTTTTCACAACATTGTTTGAAATCAAAGTAAAAATACAAGAATTAAAATAATTGTTATTGAGGGACTGTACCATTACCAGCCACCTTTATATTGCCTATTTTTTTTTCTTAATATTATTATACTTTGATACTTTCCCCAGCAGTGATGCTATCATCAGCTTCAAGAGTGGATCTTATACAAGGATGCAGGGCAAGCAGAAATGTTTAATCACCTCATGATCAAGAATCAAAAAGAATCTTCTAATGTAGCAGTATAACATAAAACAAACATAGAACCTTTTGCATCACAGCTCTTTGGTTTCAAAGCCTGCAATTCTAGTTGTTGCAACAATATAAATGCACTATAGACATAAATCTTATTTGCTTACCTTGGAGAACAAAGAAAGAGAATACTATCTGCTTCAGGTAAGTAGATCATTTGCCCTTTCAGGCGTAAACAGCTAATTTCTGTACCAGTCAGCTCGTCTTCACATTCCAATTTTTCCACATCCAAAAGTCCTTCCTATGAAAGAACAAAAAGCAGTGCTTTTTTTTCTAAAAAGAAAAAAAAGGTGCCGGAACTCACACACATCATACAACCCGCCTTGCCTATCCTACAAGGTTCCATCCAAAAAAGTTGCCGGAACTCCATTCTGGGCGTTCTATGAGAAGAGAAGCCCTGACAAAAAGAAACTTCAGTGAAAAGTACCATTGTTATAAGCCTGTGCCCTCAGAAAACTGGAACACTTTTATTTCTGATTTTCTGATCTTTACCTAAACAAATATGATAAAGAAAAACATTTCTGTTGTTGTGGTTAAACCCAGTTCTCAACAACTCTGGGTGGCTCAAAATAATCAAAAGGAAGAAATTACAATAGAACATTAAAAAGGAGGAAAAAAGATTTAAAAATAAATAGCAAGAATAATAGACTGAATGGAAACAAAGCAAGAGTCTCACTCTCCCTTGCCAAAGGCCCAGTTGACAAGCCAAATCTTTACCATATTCTGAAAAATAGCAGGGTAGGGGTCATATGAATCTCAGGAGAAACCTCATTCAGGAGGGCAAGCAATGCTATACAGAAAGTACACTTTCAAGGTCCAAATAGATAGCATTATTTAACCAAAGGAACTCAGAGCATACCAACTATGCAGGACAGATCAGCTAATCTATATTCAGCAACCAGGCCCTAAGCCAATGGTGACAAACCTATGACACGCATGCCAGAGGCGGCACTTGGAGCCCTCTCTGTGGGCACGCGCGCCATCGCCCCAGCCCCACCTTCCCCCCAGCAGCCCCCCGGAGATTCACCCCAGGCACGGCCCGCACAGAGCAGCACAGCCAAGCACATGGCAACAGGGCAGCAGGGACAAGACTCCGCCCTCGTCCCTGTCACATGCAGATGATGCTGCAGGATGCGGGTGGCAGGCCGTGGAAGCGGCAGGTGGCCCTGTGAGGTTGGGCGAGGGCAGGCCGGGCTGGTTTTAGGGTACTCGGTCTCTAAAAGATTCACCATCACTGCCCTAAGCCATGTAAGGCTTTATAGGTAAAGACCAGCGCTTTAATTGCACCAATAAGCAAATTGGCAATCTGTGCAGCCTGCAAAGCAGAGGTTTACTGGGGATACCAAGGCACACCTATCATGGCTCATAATGTTGCATTCTGGACCAGCTGGGGTGTCCAGGTGGCCCAACAGTCCTATGTAGAACCACAAGACAATAATCAAGATGACCATGAGTGACTACCTAAAGGCCCTGAAAGGATACAATTGGTACACAAGATGAGACTGCCTTCTTGACCACAGCTACCATTGGTTCTTTAAGCACAAGCTTTAGTTCCATTAAGATTCACAGATTGTGGAAGCTCATCCAAGATCCAACATGGTGTATCCTCATATATGGACAGTCAAAAGATAACAGAATCAGAACTGACCTTGGAGGTTATCTAGTTCAACACCCTGCTCAGGCAGGAAGTCAAATGGTTGTCCAATCTCTTCTTAAAAACTTCCAGTGTTGGAGCATTCACAAATTCTGGAGGCAAGTTGTTCCACTGTCAGGAAATTTCTCCCTAGTTCTAGGTTGCTTCTCTCCTTGATTAGTTTCCATCCCTTGCTTCTTGTCCTGCCTTCAGGTGCTTTGGAGAACAGTTTGATTCGTTCTTCTTTGTGGCAACCCCTTAGATATTGGAAAACTGCTAACATGTCACCCTAGTTCTTCTCTTCATTAAACTAGACATACCCAATTCTAGCAACCATTCTTTATATATTTTAGCCTTCAGTCCCCTAATTATCTTTGTTACTCTTGTATGCACTCTTTCTGAAGTCTCAACATGTTTTTTACATTGGAATGACCAAAACTGGTACAGTATCCAATACCGTACCCAAAGGGTTTTAACCCTTTCAAACTAATATGAGCTTTAAGTCTTTAATAGAATAGAATAACAGAGCTAGAAGGAACCTTGTAGGTCATCTACTCCAACCCCCCACCCAAGCAGGAGGCTCTACACCATTTCTGACAGATAGCAGTCCAGTCTCTTCTTGAAAGCTTCCAGTGATGAAACTCCCACAACCTCTGAAAGCAAACTGTTCCACTGGTTCATTGTTCTCATTGTCAGAAAATTTCTTATTTCTAGGTTGAATCTCTCCTTGATCAGTTTCCATCTGTTATTCCTTGTCTGGCCTTCAGGTGCTTTGGAAAATAGGTTGACTCCCTCCCCTCTGTGATCTAAGTCATTTATGAAGATATTGATGAGTACTGGGCCTAAGACAGAACCTTGTTGTATCCCACTGCTTACTTACCTCCATGTAGACGTAGTACCATTAAGGACTACTCATCGAGTACGGTTTGTCAGCCAGCTACAGATCCATCTGATGGTGTTGTTGTCTATCCCACTTTTTTCTAGCTTACTAAGCAGCATGTTCTGGTCTACTTTGTCAAATGCCTTACTGAAATCTAAGTATACTATGTCCACAGCATTTCGCTGGTCACTTTGTCGAAGAAAGAAATAAGATTGGTTTGACATGATTTGTTTTTAACAAATCCATGCTGACTTTTAGTTATTACTTTACTCTTTCTAGATGTTTGCAGATCTGTGTTTTGATTATCTTTTCCAGTATTTTCCTGGGTATTGATGTTAGGCTGATTGGTCTGTAGTTCCCTGAGTCTGTTTCCCCCCCCCTTTTTTTTTGAAGATGGGAACCAATCAGCTCTTTTCAGTCCTCTAGTAGTTCCCTGGTGCTCCAGGATTTTTGAAAAATATGGTACAGTGGTTCTGACATGACATCTGCAAGCTCCTTTAGAACTCTGGGATGTAATCCATCAGATCTTTGTGATTTATATTCAAGATCAGAATAGGTTTTCTCTTATCATTTTTTTTTTTTTTTGCTTATTTTAACTTTTATTTCTAGTCTGTCTTTTACAGTTAGGTTTTTGGTAGGTTGGGCAATAATTTATTTTTGCGTGAAGAACGATGCAAAGAATGAATTAAACAGCTCTGCTTTCTCTTTGCTGCCTGTTATTTCTTTGCTATCTTCTCTCTTTAGTGAACCATCTGTTTCCTTGATTTTTTTCTTGTTATTTATATTTTGAAAGAATTTTTTTTATTATCTTTGACTTTTGTTGTAGGTCTTTGTTCATTCTGAGCCTTTGATTTTCTGACTTTGTCTGGTTATCTGCTGATATTCTGCCTTAGCTATGTGTCCCTCTTTCCATTTTTTGTACTTGTCCTTTTTGTCTTTGAGTTTATCAGAGATCTTTGTGCAACCATGCTGGTTTCTTCTTAGATTTCTTGTTTTTCTTTTTCAGTGGTATTGTACTGGACTGGGCTTTTATGATTATATTTTTTAGAGTTTCCCAAGCTTCTTGAGTTGTTTTCCCCTTTAGGATTTTCATCCAAGGTCTCTTTCCCAAGCTCTCTCTGAGTTTATTAAAATCAGCTCTTTTAAAGTCTAAGATTCTGGAATCATGATGTTCTATTGGTTCTGTTTGCATTATATTGAATTCCAGTACGACATAGTCACTCTCACCCAAGTTTCCTGAAGTTTCAACTCCCTCAATCACTTCTTCTCTGTTCATGAGAATTAAGTCCCTCTAGTTCTCTCCTCTATCTTTTGGACAACAAAGTTGTCAGCTAGGTTGGTCAAGAACCTATTCAATTTCTCACTTGGTGAAGAATTAGTCTTCCATTTGATGTCAAGGTAATTGGAGTCTCCCATTACTCTTGTAGTGTATTTCCTACATATATTTGTTAATTGGTCAGCAAAAAGTGCATCTATTTTTTCTGCTTGGTTGGGAGGCCTGTAGCATACACCTAAGGCAATGTCATTCTTTTTTTCTTTTATGTTGACCCATATGCACTCTAGGAGGTTTTCTTCTTTGATCTCATACATTTCTGTAGCAATATAGTGGTCTTTTACATATAGTGCAACTCCACTTCCTCATTTATGTGGTCTGGGTTTTTTGAACAGTTTGTATCCTTCTATCAGTATGTTCCAGTTATGGGTTTCATCCCACCAAGTTTCAGTAATTCCAATTATATCATATCTATCTTCATGTATTAGTAATTCAAGTTCACTCTGTTTGTTCCCCAAATGCTAAGCATTTGTATATAGGCAGGGATCTTTATGTCTGGCTCTGGGCTCTGGGTATGCTTCCTATGTCTCCTACTTGGTGTTGGAGTTTGTCTTCCTTCCCATCCCTCCTTACCTCATTATTTGACTTGTTTTCTATGGGTTTTTGCTTGGTATTAGGTCCTGGAGATCCTAAAGATTTGTCACTCTATCCCCTCAATTTTAGTTAAAAGCTCTCCTGATAAGTTGGGCCAGTCATTTTCGAAAAACATTCTTCCCAGTTTTTGTGAGATACATCCCATCGCTTGCCAAAAGTCCATTGTGGTGGTAGTGCAGACCATGGTCCAGAAATCCAAAGTTGTTTTGGTGCTACCAACCTTTTAACCAGTGGTTCACTTCTAGAATCCTTTGTTCTCTTGCTGGATGTTGACTTTTTGTTGGCAGTACAGATGAAAAAACTACTTGAGCACCCAACTCCTTGACTTTCTTGCCTAGCTGCTCATAATCAGTAAATAGTTTTCAGGTCCATTTTCATGTCATTTGTCCCTATATATAGTAATAAAAAAGGGCAGTAATCTGTGGGTTTTATTGTTTTGGTTAAGTTCTCAGCCACATCTTTGATTTTTGCTCCAGGGAGACAACATACCTCTCTGGATTGACTGTCTGGTCTACAGAGGGCTGATTCTGTTCCCTTGAGAATTGAATCTCCTATCACCAATACTCACATTTTTTTCCCTAGGGAGTTTTGGGATATTTTTCTGTCTATCACAGAAGCACTTGATATTGCTACTATTCTAGGGACATTTGATGATGCTTCTTTTCTAGATGTCTGCATGTTTTCTTCCAGGGACAGTCAATGAAATTGATTGCTCAGCACCGGTGGTCTGCATCAGAGTGGGTTGGGTTGGACAGGGGTTTTGTTCTAGGTTTCTGTTTTTTTCTATTAATGACATGTTTCCATCTCTCTTCTTCTTCTAAGGGGTCAATTCTTTTAGAAGTTGTTTGATCATTATTATGTTCAATTTGAAAAGACTTATGCTCAAATCTTCTTCCTAGTACAATAGATACCGTTTGAAGTGGTGCACTGCTGAGCCATGGCCTCTTGGCCACTGGGCCATGTGAGTGTCTGGGCACACCCCCTTGCACTGGTGCTAGCCGAGCTGTGAGCCTCATGCCAGTAAGTTGTGAGCTGTGCGCCAGCATTAGCCGAGCCATGAGCCATGAGTCATGAGCCTCGCGACAGCGCTAGCGAGCTGCAAGCCACAAGCCTCTCACTGGCACTAGCTGAGTCTTGCACTGCAAGCTGTGCTAGCCAAGCCATGAGCTGTGAGTCTCGCAACGGTGCTAGCCGAGCCACAAGCTGGCACTAGCTGAGCCATGAGCCTCATGCCAGCACTAGCAGCCCCATTTGCAGAGGCGCATGTTTGTGGCCCCATTTGTGCGCGCACACAGCCACATTAGCATGTACGCGCATACACACATAAAGGTGCCTGCCCCTCCCTTTCCCACCTGGCTGCCAACACAGAAAGGTTAGGGACCCCTGTTTTAGATTACCTTACTCCTTAGCACGAAAACTGTGTTGATATGTGAGAGGATTCCATGGAAACTAATATCAATATGAGGCCGAACCAGTGAAAATACTGATAATAGATTACAATACCCCGGCTGGAGCTGAAATGTAAGTAAAAAAGAAAGAAAAACATTTTTAAACTTTGAATTCTGGTAGTGATTGCAGTCCGTTTTTCTATGTTCTATCTGTGGTGGATAGTACAATAATATTTATTGAATTAGTGCTCATATTGTACTGAATTGTTAACAATTAAATAATGGACTTTCTTGCATAAAAAATTAAATTGAATAAGAGTTGTTCACACTGTCCAAGCTCCAGGATGAGAATCCTATCTTTAATGACACTGAGCAAGGAAATATTCTAAAGCAGTATTTTTCAACTTTGCATGATGGCTGGGTAATTCTAGAAGTTGAAGTCCACATATTAAAGTTGCCAAGATTGAGAAATGCTGTTCTAAATGATCTCTATGCTCTCTTTGTTTTCTATAATCTACAGCAGTAATTCAAGCAATACTTCTAGAAATTAATGGTCACTTCTACTTTGACAGAGGGCCTGTTCCCAAATTTCATGTTTACATTGATTCAGGCTGCATAGGCTAAAATAAATTCAGATGGACTCTTTATGAAAAAGAGTTTTAGGATGAAAAACTCTAGGCTTTTCATGAAGGATTGTATTCCATTGTTATACTTTATGAAAATCAACCTGAAAAGGATGGGCAGAGGAAAGGAAGAAATATAAATAATATAAATATTTTTAAATGATGGAATACTTAATATTTGCTAATTTAGACAGGAAAAAAACCTTTTCAGCTGGTAACATAGGCATAGCTAAATATGAAGTGAAAACTATTAAAAATATATAAGTATTTTTTAAAACAAAATGTTTAAAAGATTGATTACTAAAACTTCTATGTGTGCAGATTCAGATATAATACTAAAAAGGAAGAAATGTGAAATACATTTCATAGTCCAAGTGGTGCTTACAAAATATTGAATAATAGAACTGGTATATAAAAGTGAATAGTAGCACTTGAGTAGGATGGTAGAAGGGCTGGAATTCAAAAGCTTTGCAGGAAAAACAAGAATTCTTACCTGGGGAAGGACTCTATATATTGCATTTCCACACTGAGTGACAACTAGGTCTCTGTCAAATATAATGTGGAAAGGAAAGGCCTTGCAAAATGTGTATGGACTGATGCGAGACTCTTGAGTACCATTCTCTTCAAATCTGTCAAGATCTTCATAAAAATCTTCTTCTTTAGATTCTTTTTCTTCGATTAAGAACTGAATATGGTCACACTCTTCATTTCTTTGTTGAATAACCTGAACATCATAAAGAAAAGGTGGTTACTACAATAATAGTCTATTTTTATTCCTCAGCAACAAGTATTGCTCTTAACTTTCATATTAAATTCCAGTCTAGACACCTGAAGTGCATGACTGAAAATAAATAGACTTAAATTAAAATTCCTGGCAGTGTTATAGCTATCCAAGCAATGAACTAATAGCATAAATGTAAGGCATGATAACTTAAGAACAAGAAAGCCTGCTTTTGAAGCTCAATTTGCTCTTCAGATCAAGTGATTTGTCAAAGGAAGAGGGTCACCAGGAAGATTCAATTTACAGCATAGAAAACTATAGGTTCCAAAAAGTCCCTTGCACGATTAAGAATAACTTGACAATTTGAATCTCTGCTTTCTAGAATACCTAAGTCCTTTTACAATACTTCGAATACATCCAGTGTTTCTATAGTATATGAAACTAAGAAAGGAAAAATAGTGCCAGTGAAATGCTTTTGCTTTAAAATATAATGAAATATAATAATTTAAGTCAGAGGGATTTGGTCTAAATGGGACACTTTCTGTCAGAATCCATTTATATTTCATTTCTATCTATCTCCTCTGATCTAAAATTAAATTTCACTTTCCCCTGGATTCTGCCATATTCCCAAGGGGGAGGGGGGATATGCCTGCGGGGTTATGACTTTCACTTCCTCTATTCCTATATTTCATTTCTATCTACTACGATCTAAAACCAAATCTCACCTTCCCCTGGATTCTGCCATACTCCCAAGGGGGAGGGGGAATATGCCTGCGGGGTTATGACTTTCACTTCCTCTATTCCTATATTTCATTTCTATCTATCTCCTCTGATCTAAAATTAAATCTCACTTTCCCCTGGATTCTGCCATATTCCCAAGGGGAGGGGGGATATGCCTGCGGGGTTATGACTTTCACTTCCTCTATTCCTATATTTCATTTCTATCTACTACGATCTAAAACCAAATCTCACCTTCCCCTAGATTCTGCAATACTCCCAAGGGAGAGGGGGGATATGCCTGTGGGGTTATGACTTTCACTTCCTCTATTCTTCCTCTATCCTGCCTCCAGAAGCGGTGAATGCTCCAACACTGGAAGTTTTAAAGAAGAAACTGGACAGCCATTTGTCTGAAATGGTATAGGGTTACTTGCTTGAGCAGGCGGTTGCACTTGATGACCTCCAAGGTCCCTTCCAACTTTATTATTATTATGGATCATCGCACAGTCAGCCAGATATTCAGACTGGATTTGGCATTTTGTCTACCTATCAAGTCCTTACCCAGGACCTGGGATAGGCAGATGTGGATGTTTGATGGTATTACAGATATTGTCGCAGGATGGAAGCAGTTCATAGTAAGGCTGCCTTTTGCAATTGACTAATAGCGAATTTGTCAATGCCAATGGTGTTCAAGTGGTGCTCCAGTTGTTTTGGGATTGCACCCAAGGAGCCTATGACTATTGGTACTACCCTTGCTTGCTTGTGCCACAGTCTTTCTATTTCTATTTGTAGGTCTTTGTATTTTGTTATCTTCTCCAGTTCTTTCTTGTCTATTCTGCTGTCTCCAGGCACTGCCACGTCCACTATCCAGACTTTTTTGTCTTTCTTATCGACAATTGTTAAGTCTGGGGTGTTATGTTGCAGGTGCTTGTCTGTTTGAATTCTGAAGTCCCAGAGCAGTTTAATTTATCATTTTCTATGACTTTCTCTATTTTATGATCCCACCAGTTTTTGCTTACAGGCAAATGATATTTTTTGCAGATCTTCCAATGCATCATTGTTGCTATTTTGTCATGCCGCTGCTTGTAGTCAGTCTGTGCAATCTTCTTGCAACAGCTTACCAGGTGGTCCACTGTTTCTTCAGCTTCTTTGCATAGGCGGCACTTACTGTGTGTTGCTGTCTTCTCAATTTTGACTTTATGTGCATTTGTCCTTAAGGCTTGGTCTTGTGCAGTCAGAATTAGTCCCTCGGTCTCTTTCTTCAATTTTCCTGCTCTTAGCCATTGCCAGGTCTTGTTATTATCTGCTTTCCCAGCTATTTTTTAATGTATTGGCCATGTAGTGTTTTGTCTTCCCATGCCTCTATTCTGTTCTTCATTTGGTCTTTCTTGTAGGCCAGTTTGGTCTCTCCAATAGTCAGTAAGCCTTCCTGATATACTAATTTCAGTGCATCTTCATCATTGTTGTTCAGATATTCTTCCAAAGCCATTTTTTTTCTTCAATCATCTGATGTACTTGTAGCATTCCACGCCCACCTATTTGCCTTGGTAGATAAAGTCTGTCAATGTCACTGCTTGGATGAAGGGCATGATTCATTGTCATTATTTTTCTGGTCTTCCTATCCATTGCTTTTAATTCTGGTTGAGTCCAGTCCACTATTCCAGCTGTGTACCTAATGACTGGAATTGCCCAGGTGTTGATTGCCTTTATGGTATTTCCTCCATTGAGCTTGGACTTTAAGTTCTTCTTCACTCTCTTGATGTATTCACCTCTAATCTTTTTCTTGACTTCAGTGTGCTTGATGTTGTCAATTATTATTATTAATTATTATTATTATTCGTACAATGTAACCTTTTGTTTACTGCCTCTGGGTCTGCTGGCCATTACAATGTAACAAATTGCCCCCTTTACTATGCATCTCTCTGAACTTTCTTCTCCCTAAGCAGGCAGTTAGGAAAAGGGGGGGGGGGTTGAAAAAAGTATAAACAACTGGAACATGGCTTATTTCTGTGGTCCCAATAGGAGGTGTGAAGAGCTGTGGAACATCGTACTACAAATGGAGACGGACTGATGCTATCTTCCCTTTCTCACGATGGACTAATCCCCTGGGGATTGGCCGGTCTGAACCATCTGGATGAACTGTGGGGTGGAGTTTGCTTAGGGACCCTTTAAAGTATCGATCTGTAAAGAATTCCTCAGATCCTGTCTATTATACCTGCTATCAACTACTCTTAATAAAAGTTCTGTTGAAAGAAATTGTGTCCAAGAGTTCTGCTTTCTTAAGATGTGGGATTGAAGTGGGTCCTTACACTTTCACAATATAGTTTTGTGAAGTAGATGTCCAGTTATAATATAAACCCCTTTTCATACATTTACTATTTTTTAACATACTGTAATCATATTCATAAAGAATCTTTCATTACATCCTTATATAGATTCAATAACTCTGAATTAAAGGTTTAAGAAGAGTAGCAGTTTTTAAATTATATTTTGATTTCTCTTCAAATTATATAAAGCTTTTACCCCAGAAGAAGGAAATTATTCCCCATGTACAAGAGATGTACTCTGTCATATACAAAATCAGTCTCTGGATCCAAGCTGAATTTGCTTCTACTGTTTAAACTATTTGCACTGTTGCTTGGAAAGAAGGCAAGAAGGTGAAAGAAAGAAATAGGGTTCCTCCAAAATTAGTTCTATCTGTGGCTCACTGTTATTTAAACTGATGATCTAAATAACATACATTCATAGCCTTCCACTGAATTTATATAAACTGCATTGCAGAAAATAATGTACATGGCATGAAACTATTCATTTAATATCACTGACAAACTACCACACAATAAGGTAAAAGAGCCTAAAGATATTGTGTATACCTGGAAAAAAATTCTATTAAATTCAACATACTTTACTTCTGAGTAGGCATGGATTCCACTTTAACTTGAATGCTTAAATGTTATTTTTTAGCTATATAATACATATTAATGGTATTTAGTTACCAAAATTTTATTGGTTAAAATAGTAATGCATCATTGTGACTGGAAAAATAAGTCTTAATAATCTTAGTTTTGGCTAGTCATATGTACAATATGTCACAGAAGATATTATTTTACAGAAATAAAAGAGTGTTATTGCTGTTAAAGTTCTTACCAGCCAAATGCTTGATAATTAAAATGTGAATTAATGGCTTTCAAATATATTTTAAAATATTCTATCTGACTGATTGTACCCAGGTTTTACTAATCAAAGATTTTTTAATAAAGACATAAATTAAGTCCTGTAGAGTAGACTTATTCAAAAACACTTTGTGAACAGTATAACTGAAATGTTCAAAATACTAGTAAATGATTTAATCATTTTCTGTCCACCACCAAATTAACCACCAAATTGAAAAGGTAAACAAGACAAAACATTAGCTAGAAAACAAACATCCTACTGTTTCAGGCTGTTTCAAAAACTGACAATAATACACACTAGCACTGTAAACTTTCATAATTTGATAAAATTCATCTTTTAGTATTCTGCTAGTCTCCTGTGTCAATAACTGCAAAGTTCCAAGGCAATTTATAGCAAATGATTTAGAACATAAATTAATGTAAGACAATCATAGGGAGAATATATGTCTGGGAGAAGGAAGGTCATACATAAAGCAGAAATGAGAAATAAGTCATTAAAGTACAGCTGAAATTAGCAGAATTTTTTGCATTACATTCAGTCCACAATAGGAACACTGAACAAACTAAGTAAGCATTTGATAGGATTAAAAAATATATATTACTACATATTACTGATATAAAGACTCACTTCAAGATATTTTATCCAAACTTACATGACAACTCTATTAAAAGATACCTTAAAATTAGATGCAATAATCTCTTTCATCTTTAAAATATTAACTGTTGCAAAAAGTTGCATTTTCCATTCCTAGCAAATTTGACAACATTCCAATTTCCATTGTATCAAAATAATACTGAATAATACAGTTCCATTCCTTGCTTTGTTTTCACAGGACTATAAACAGTTGTATTATCTTCAATATTAGATTGTGAGATTTTTTTCAAGCAGAAACATCTGATCCTAATAAATGGCAGGGAAGTGGAAAATAAAACCAACTCCCTTTCTATGAACTCTCTACATTCCATAAGCTTTCATGCAGCTTTAGAGATAGATGTGCTAACAAAGAGGCTAATCAAGAATACCAGTACCAGGATTCCGGTTTTGCGCAGTAGCGCAAATAACCAAGGGATCGTGGGGCTCTGCACCCTACAGCTGATTCTTTTCTGTTTGGGGACCCTAAATGGGCC